CGGATCAGTCGAAGTCTCAACTACGGTCACTTCTGGAGTGACTGAGCCACCACCTTCCTCAATCCACTCCCGTTCGTACTTGTTGTACTCAGAGTTGAGCAAATCTTGGATCCTGACAAGGTCGGTTGGGAATTGTTTCTCGATATAAGACATTCGAAGTCGAGGGTTGAGCACAGTTGAGAGTGCGATGGCATCGCACTCGATTGCTTCGCGCTGATAGCCATGGATCTTCACTAGCATTCTCTGTATCATAGTTTGTATCTCCTTGTAAGGAGATTTAGCACATGCAGTGCGCAGTGCAGCCGAAATCAGTTCATACTCCCTCATCATGATGGCAGCTGTGGGGTGATCGCCTTCGACACGGTAGGTTGATTTCAAAAAAAGCTGAAAGGATTTACATTCAGGACCTTTCAAGCAAAAAAATGAACTGAAATGAGCTTACTTCAGTGACTTCGTTGAGAGCTCGAACAGCAGCCCATTCGCTGGCGGTGATATGAAGGTCGCCGTAGTAATTTCCACCGGATTCGTCCGACAACATTTGATTGATAACCTCAAGAATAGTGGAACATATAAGAAAACGGCGCTAAGTGTAATGTTATTGACAGTTTACGTTTAACTTACCTTGTATCCATCACATGCACGTTGTCGAGCGTCGTGCTTTCCATTCCACCGATGACAGCTTCCCGACACTATCCCTTTACCACCGCCTCGCAAAGCCTTGAACTGATCACGGCGTGGTCCACTTGACGATATTAAGGCTATTGCCTTGTCGACCTAATACATGAAGTTCTATTAGTACGGATCTTGTATCAACATTCAAGATTAATATACACTCACCTTACGAACAGCTAGCCTCACATCGACTTCCTTCCAGCCGGTGGATGGCATCACTGGGTCAGCAGCTTTGGGAGGTGTTCCGCGAACTGCGGAATCTTCTTCTGGTTCAACTCGTTCATCCTCGTCGTCACTAAGTTCAACATGCATACCGTGCCCCTCGCAATCAGAATCATCCAAGTCAGCTGGAATATCAACCTCTTCTTGTCCTTCATTTAAAGTGAAAGTAGGTAGAGATGTTTGCGGGGTGGTTGGCTTGATGTGACCGGCCGCCACGTCAACGGACTTCAGTCCATCCTTGACCACCAAGGCCAGTTTGTGCGCGATGCAACGGATCTGCATCTTTTCAGCATTCCATTTTACTGGGTCGTGAGCCATCGCAAACTGATCAGAAAGTTCAGTTGCCAACGTCGCATTTTTTGAACCCGAGTCAGTGGTCTGGGCATACATGTAAATAAACAAAAATATTAACAATGTCAGTTTGAAATGATAACTTCGGGTCATAACAAGTAAAACGAAGAAAAAACCAATCTTCTTATGTAGACCGTGCTTGATGAGAAATTTAGCTACCGGCCGAGCCAGAAGATTTCCGTAGTGGTGCCAAGCGATCAGTTTGAATGCAAGATGGACAGATTGGAATTTCCAATCACGATCGACAAAGGTTGCGGTGACTCCAATAAAAGCATGTCGCTTGCCTTTAGTTGTCCACACATCGTGGACCAAGGTGAATCGACCTGGTATGTTCTAGTATCAAATTAAGTTAGTGTTGTAAAGATTTGAAGATTTGTATAAGGATATTAAAATAGACGGTCACTCACCCTGAGCATGTTGACCACATTCATTTGCATATCATTGAAGATGGTGGTAGCTGCGCGTGCTGCCCACACACTTGAACGAAGAGAAGCTGAAACATTGGCTAATTGAAAAGCTGCTCGAAGGGGATGATCGTCCATTCGTGCCCATGGTAAAGCGTGTCGGAGTAACCAGATGACCATTATACCATTCAAAGTTTCAAGGCAAAACTTTTTCTTTGACACAAAGCTGTCAAGTGTCGTGTTCTTCTTCGAACCCTTAGCAGCAGCTGCAGCCACACGCTCAGGGTAAGTTGGTGGCAGATTGAGTATAGTCTTCCCGGCAAGGCGACGACCAGGACAGACCGGACGAGATTCAGTGCCATCTCGATGGCCTTTGAGATTAGACCATCCGGCTGGCCCTTTCGAATAAACTCCAGTGCACCAATTGCAGCGATAAGACCTCTTGACCCCAGTCGATTCCTGCGGATATGTAAAAGAATCAATAAAATGAACAACATTTGAGAGGCTTATTGAGGACTGTACTTACCTCGCCTGGTACATAGTCAGGATCCTTGAAGTACCTCGCAACACCCTCAGCGTCCTCCTGATATTGAACGCGTATACCTTTTGATCGAGTTGAAGTCTTGGGTTCAGCTGTGTCATTGTCCTGGTCTAAATCGATGATCTCAGGAGCAGCAATGTGCTATGCAATCACATATAGAAATAAGCTGATTGTCTTTTAAAATTGATTTAACCAAACTCACTTTATTGGTCCGTTTTCGCTTGCGAGGAACATGGACAACTAGGTCAGACTCTGGAGAATCTTCGCGAGTAGCATCACTCGAAACCGCAGCTCGTTTACCGTTGTTCCTTTGACAGGGTGATTGAGATACGGGTGGCTCCTGGTCGCCTTTGGACGATGGACGAGTTGATTGTTGAGAGATGGAAACGGAAAGTGATAAACGAGAGTCCGGAGATGTCCTGACCATCTGTGGGGATACAGGAGTGGTACGAGTTCGCTGGCTTTGACGTGAAGGGGTCGCCGTTGAACCTGGTGGGCGAAGAAGCGAGTTCGAAGGGGTTGATTCAAGTCCGGTCATGCTAGAGATGTGTAGCAGGAACTGGTAGCTTGTAAGATGATTACTAAGTTATTGGAAAGGGTGGTTAAGAGTCAAGGACAAGATTAGAAAAAAGGATAGTGAAAAGGTAATATGTGGAATTGAATGAACGGAGGAGGTGGAAGTGAATCAGATCAAAGATCAAATCGATTCAAACTGAACACAAATTGCTCACCTGTCATTATGGAAACTAGCTTGTTCACCTGGCTTAAAGTAGGTGAGATTGATGGGTATGAGACGTGGTATTTGATTGGCGAGGGGTGTTGTTTGACGTTTTTGCATTGTGAGTTGCCTAAAGGGGAAGATTGAACCTCATCAAGACGAGAACTTGTCCAGATCTGGAGATCCGTTGTCTGTCCAAGTGAACCTGTATTATACTATGTGTAGCGCTGTGTGTAGCGCTACAACATGTATAACATAGCGCTCCAGAGCGTTGTATAGCGTTATATGGACACACGCTCCGTTATAACGGCACAAAAATCTTACATTACCCTACATGCTCATTGGATAGCGGGCCAGTTGAGCACCGTAATTATAGCGCTGTAATTATGGTGCTAGGCGCTCCGCTATACGCTATATAGCGCTATCAATAACGGACCGGACGGACGTTGCTGTATCACTTAGGAAAAAAAATCAGATTGCTTATATCCTTGTCAAAAAAGGAATTCTTTCTGAAACTTTTTTTTTTTTACAAATACAATTAATTTGTTCATCTTTTAATGTACATTAGGAATTAAATTAAGATCTTGTGCTACTTTTTTTCTCCTGTATTGCATTATCTAACCTTCAATTTTTCTGAAATCAATTTTTCCAACTTTTTCATCAGTTAATGTCTTGGGGTTAATATTCAGCTTTTCATTCATGATTCCTCTTCTATATTGATATTTTTTGGTATATATTGATATAGAGTTTCCTTGTACAATCTTTCTAAATCTTCCATGGTTTTAAGATCTGCAATACCAAGCTTCAATTGATATAAAATTAATTTTCTTTTCTCTTCCAAGTTTTCAATACCATTGAATGGTCTTTCAAGTTGAATTTTGTTGTGTTGAAGAAATATAAAACAAGTTCTCTGGCTTGAGCTCTCCACTAGAGGAGCTGGTGGAAACTGAATTTATGAGGTCATTGAGATAAGTGAATTTGACTTGCTAATTGAAACAAAAATCCCAAGCCAGAGAACTTCTCCTATATATCCTCAACAAAACAAATCATCAAGCTGAATCACCATCCAATGACATTGAAAACTTGGAAGAGAAAAGAAAATTAATTTTACATCAATTGAAGATTGATATTGCAGATCTCAAAACCATGGAAGATATAGGAAGAGTGTACAAGGAAGCCCTATATCAATATACCAAAAAATATCAATATAGAAGAGGAGTCATAAATGAAAAGTTAATCATTAACCCAAACACATTAAGTGATGAAAAAGTCAGAGAAATTTATTTCAGAAAAATCATAAGTAAAATATTGCTATACAGAAGAAAGAAAGTAGCACAAGATCTTAATTCAAATCCCAATGCATCAAAGGATAAAGAGATTAATAAGATTTGTGAAAACAAATCAACAGTTTCTTGTCAGAAACAATTCCTTTTTCAACAAGGATATAAACAATCTATGGTTTGTTTCCTTATAAGTGATTCAAAAGTGCAAAAACTTTATTTCAAGGAAATTAATCAGAAGGAGTTCAAGGGTAGAAAAAAGTGTGTGGCTGAAGATGGTAATCTTATTTGATAACTGATGATGAGTTTAAAATGAAACATGATCATGTGTTAGAATTCAGGTGGGGAGGAAGAATGGTTTACATGATACATCATGTAAGTTCTAGAGCAGGAGATGGTTAACCGTTACATCCATCCAGACTCCAGTCTCCTACAACTCAACACGTCATCATGTATGTTCAATTTCGGGTGACAGCATCCGTCCAGTCATCACCTTGTTGGTGGAATACGTTGTGTGTCACCAGTTTGTTGTGTCCAATAAAAGGATGATTTAAACATCATACCATTGAAGATGCGTTCTTTTGATTAGATTTGACAGAAAGATATGATTCCGATCAATCGAGTTCGGCGCTTCAAGCATCAAGAATCCACAATCTTGGTAACCTTCCCCGCCTTCTTCACTTTCATCAAACAAAACTCATGAACTTGAAAAAAAAAACACGTCTCATCATGTACCAGGATCTTGAGCAAAATCCTGAACTGCGTAAGATTTGTAATCGTTGTGCGGGATCAAGTAGACTTGTCCGCCATATCACTCAACCAAACCAGCAATATACTATAATGATCTACGCGACTTTCATGTCAGTGATGAACATGAAGAGAAATAACACAGGAATCTAATTGTAGTGAACAAGACAGAATTGCTATCAAAAGGTTAACGGAGGCGGTGCTTGATAATCATCAAGCCCAAGAGCCAAATCAGGGATTAACAAGTCTGAAGAGGATAAACCGAGAGCCAAAGCAGAGTTTGATAAGTCTGGAGAGGATAACCCAAGAGCCAAATCAGAGTTGGATAAGTCTGAGGGGATAATCCAAGAGATCAGAGTACAATAATTTTAAAGTGGATAACCCAGGAGCCAAATTAGAGATGGATAATTCTAAAGTGGATAACACAAGCGCCAAATCAGATATTGATAAGTCTGAAGAGGATAACCCAAGCCCCAAAGCAGATATTGATAAGTCTGCGGAGGATAAGCCAAGAGTCGAATCAGAAATTGATAAGTCGGAAGACGAAAACCGAAGAGCCAAATCAGAGATTGATAGAGTTGAAGAGAAAAAATAGCCAAATCAGAGAGAATAAGTTGAAAGGGAAAAAGAAACAAGATTGAAATCAGATATCAAGCTCATTGCATATGTTCAAGAAGGGAGAAAACATAATGACTAACCGCATGATCTCAATTTTCCGCTGCTACATCTCATTCAATTAATTCCTGGCAAACTTTCCGATCGTCTTCACGGCCTCCAAGTCCATCAGCATAAATCTAAAGAAAACAAAAGACAAAGATTCAAATCAGAGACCCAATCCATTTCATCCATTAAGGAAGAGACAAAAGATGAAGACTTACTACATGATCTCGACTTTCCGCTGCGGCATCAATCAATTGCCAAGTACTTATCTCGACTTGTCAGACTCTTGGCTCATCCTCATCACCTCGGTCCATCGGGATGAATCTAAAGAAAGACAAAGATGAGATCCGAATCAGAGATTAAACCCATTGTATTCATTCAAAAGACAGAAAAAGTGATGACTTACTACATAATCGCGACTGCCCGTGACTACATATTGGTCAATCGATTCCCAAAGTACTTCTCTAGATTCGTCAAACTCTTTAAGTCCATTCTCAAAGATGTTCTCTTATCGATGCTGATACACGAATGGAATCGCGTTCATGTGATCGATCACAATATCTGATGTACGTAGGAAGAGATAAGTCAGTTTATAGTGAACTAACTGAAGGGATACGTATATGGTTCGCTTACGTTGATCCATCAACCCGATGTGCTGTTTAAACATAACGCGAATCTTTCGTTAAGGCTAGTTGAATTGAAGCATGACCTCTAGATATCAAGTGTGTAAGATGTCGTCCACGTGTACGTAAAAGAAACATAACGCGAATCTTTCGTTAAGGCTACTTGAATTGAAGCATGACCTCTAGATATCAAGTGAGTAAGATGTCGTCCACGTGTACGTCAAAGGGATCACTCAACCTGTAGTTTGGGTTGAAGAATCGAAAAGGAATGCCATAGATTGCCAAGAAAAAGAACGGTCGGATGATCATTGTCAAGATATAGGTCGGTCAATGTCAGAGACGAGGTATGAATTCTGAGATAGTTTGAATCGGATCGAACTCACCTTGAAGGATATCAAGGATAGGGCCAGCTGCACTCAATAGAGACCAATCGGTTCTTCGATTTTCTTTTCATCACATGTAAAACCGCAGTCTTTGACACGCTCTTTGCTTGTTCTACTCCATCTCGATCACTGTTAAAAAGGTGTGTAAGTAGCAATCATGAAATGATATCTAGGAATGAGTATTTAACTTACAATCATTGCTACTAGATCGGTCTTCATATAAACCAGGATATCTGAGTGTAGAACTTCAGATACTCATCGATTCGATTCTTACCAAATTGAACTAAATAGAAACGTATCATTTGTTCGAAACGGTTCGTTCTATGTAAGACGATCACTGAATCTGAATAAATGAGCGATTCGAAATATCAAAGAGAATGATGAAGTGAATTGATTAGATCTCTATGAATTGGAAAGTCTTTGGTGTTGATAATAAAGTGAACTACTAACAGTTTACGTAGATTGTTTGATGGTGTTGGTTGAAGTGAATGGTTCGATTAGCATTGGTGGTCGTGATGGTTCGCCTGGTTTCGCTTGACTGAGTGCTGATCTCGAAAAACATGAGGAAATGTTACATACACTGTGTATGTGTGTGTAATCACGTGATATATTATAGACTGTCTGTGTAAGCATTCCAAGAAGATAGACATCAAGTCGAATAGGCTTAAAGACTTGGCTGCACCTCTCACATCGAACGGTATGTTTTCAAAAGACTCGGCACAAGGAACAGGCAGCGAGAATCAATCAATGAGAATGCAAAGGAGAATTGGGAGAAGTCTCATTCATTGTTATTCTTTAGGTATCACAATCCACGCAAGAGAAACAAGAAAAGGGACAGTACATTGTAAATTGCGCTTGCTGCTGGGCAGATGAAAGACCCACAATAAACAAGATCCGGCGAATTAAAACGTGAAGTCGAGGAGCATAAGAAGTGCGCAAGAAATAGGACACAAGTAAGGAATAACGGAAGGACAATTCAAACGACAAAACGGACTAAGGTATCTGCATAAAGCACAGCGAGAACAACGATCTGAACAAAATATTGAAACTCTAAATGAAACCGACGGGACTGGCACCACCACCGACACCACCAAGGAGACCACCCAAAGCGTCACCGAGATGGCCAAGGAGGAGACCAACACCTGCTAAGAGGCGTTCGAGGCCTTTGAAGATAGGTTCGAGGACCAGGAGGAGTTGTTGGAGCAATTGACCGAGGTGACTGAGGGGTTGGAAGAAGCCGACGACACCACCACCACCGTTAGGGCCTCCTGGTACTCCGCCGGGGCCGAATCCACCTGAACCTCCTGGTAAACCGTTGGGGTCGATACCAGCTGGACCACCTGGTAATCCGTTAGGGTCAAATCCACCTGGACCACCAGGGAATCCACCTGGACCACCGGGGAACCCACCTGGAATTCCGTTCATCCAGTTACCGACCGGGAAGCCAAGTGGTGACCAGAGCTGAGGGTTGAAGTTACAGGCTGAGAAGAATTGCTGAATGTCGACATGCATGGTGATAGCAACACCGATGATCGATTGCATCAAAACAGTGAGAACGGCAAAGGAGGCTGTTGTAAGAAAAATGGTAGTTCAGAGTACAAAGTCAGCTCATGCAGGTCAAATAGGAAATCAGATCGGGTACTGACATTGGAAGGCACCAATGATACCGACACATTGAGTGGAAATGATCGTGATCATACTTTGGATTTGGATGATCATCGGGGCAAAAGTGGAGATGAACTAGAAATAACATGGGTTAGCAAACAGCTGGACTCCCATGGCGACATGGAGGGAAGACGTACCACTTGAGGGTTTCCTTGGAAGGGACATCCGCCTTGTAAGCTGTAGAACAGGGTTGAAAGACTAGTAACCATGATTTGGAACTGAAGTAAGATGGTTTGGGGGTCCATGCCACCGCCCCAGAGGCCGACGGTGTTGGATGTAATCGTAGAGTAGCTTTGAACTTGTGAAAAGAAAGTGTTCATTGGCGGTAGACCTCCTGGTGCTACGATCGGAGCATTCCAGACCGCATTGGGTCCAGGTGGAGGAAGGCCACCACAGCCACCCATGCACTTCATTTGAAGATCGCCACTACGAAAGTATAAGGGATAGTCAGGGAAATCGCTCTGCTGAGCTAGAAAGATTCAAACTGACTTTTGGCCGGGCACTTCGTCACTACGAACGCTCAATCTAGCAATTGTATCGGTTCTCGCCCTGAAGATAGACAAAGTCAGCACTAAATCATGAAACGGCATCCGAACTCATGGCTTACAAATGATGCGAGCCGGCAGCAGCGGAGGCTAATAGCGATTCAAACAGAATGGGGCATCAGTTGGGATTGAAAAAGAGTATAGACGATAAGTGAAGAGCGCACCAGTGAGCACGAAGCCCAGATAAGCGAAGGAAAGATGCATCTGTGTTGGTTAAGGACTAATGAGCGTGCAATGAAGCGATCGGGAAAATTACTACGATCAAAACAAATAATATGAGGACTATAGCTTGAGGGACTATTGAGAAAAGAGAGACAGGTAGCTACTAGATGCGATTGGAAACCAAAAGGATATGTAGGCAAAGGCCAGTAGTGGAAAGCTGATGAGGGAAGGAAACCGGCACCCTCTGCTGACCGTTTTATACTCGATTTGCTCCCGCCAGAGCTCATCATCACGCTTGGCAGAGAAGTCCTCACCATGAACTGTTGTTGAGTTTGGTATGAATCACGAGAAAGAAAATGATGAATCCTGACAGCCGCTCGATTTTTGAATCTTTTCACACGGATTTGAACGAGAAAGGACACTACGAAAACAAACTTATCCCACTCGAGTTCGTATCAGTAAAGTCATTCATCGATAGTGAATAGATAGTGTTCAATGTGACGGAAGCGAAAGAGTGAGACATACAATTTGTGTTCTACATAGTGTTGGCCATGGGTACCTGCCTGTCATCTTCGTGGTGTGAGCGGAAGCGGACTCAAAGGGACTCAATCAGTTCGAAGAGTTGAGGATGACGGAACCGATTTTTAGCTTGAATGTGCGACGACATTTGAATGTCTACAAGGTCATCATTCAGAATTTGATATAACACGCAACCTGTTTCTTCGCACGGAGGTCTTTCGATAAGACTCTTCAACTTGAGAAGTCACTTCTACGATATTGTCACTCGATTCAAACATCTGTCTCGGTGGAAAACTTATGCAAGTCTATCCAAGTCCCACGCCGATGATTCCGACCGGCTCGGGTCGGCGTGGGAGTCACGTAGATAAGTCAATTAGTAGGAAAGCTCCGGCAAATCAAATGTATGTTCCGCACTGACGGCGGTGTGACTACTAATTGGACCCGCAATCACATTTCTCACATACAACACATGTGTAGTCAACCCTCGATGTAAGCATAGAGTCCAGCAAAGAGAACTCCGTGTGCAATACTCGCGATCCCCCTGTGATCCGATGAGTTATCCGGCGAGTCCGGATGCTGGTCAGACCTCTGGAGCTCCCTGAATCCTGGTAGTCGGATCAACTGACGGTTTGGGGGTGTCTTGTCCAATTTCCTACGATGATGAGTATATTTGGCAAGATGACATTTTTGCATTTTGGAGATATCAGAGCATGAGGAAAAAATAGAACATTAAATAAGAAAAAATCATATTAAAGCAAACTAGTCAATGACCATAGCAGGGGTCTCAGCATGCTCAGCCATATATAAAGGACCAAAAGCTTGGTACCAATCTTTTACACATATAGTTCCCTCAACATGTTGAGGCGCAAGACTAGATTGCTGGGGTTCCCAGATTGTTTTAGTCTTGGTATACACCCCCATGGTCACCAATGGGCAGCTAGTTGGTAAGATTACTAGAAAATTCATCGCCATGTTGACCAATCCAGCCTTAGTGATAAAGTAACTGGTAAGTGATATGAACACGGCGTTGTTTGCAGACGTCTGTGCATCTTGAGTGTTTGCAATTGCCTTGGAAGGACCCAAGTAGGAATTTTTGACATAATCTTCATAGTGATAATAAGCTTGGTGCATGTGTGGAGCAATTGCATGGTGATTGACAAGCATCCCCTTGGCTTTAGGGTTGCATAGGTTCAGGAGATCTTGGAAAGATTGTTGTTCCATGATCAACAAGGGAAGGTTGCATTCAGAAATGAATTGTGTTAGTGCACTCTTGAGGGTGTGGGTGTTGAGGCTGTTCTTACAGTGATGATGATCAAACATCATGAGTTTTGTTGTCTTTGGCTTTGAATGTAGGGCAAAGGGAACATTCAAGACTGACTTGGTGAGCTGTTTCAACCTTCTTGAAGGATTGAACAATGTCCAACTGATTTGGGAGATTGCCTTTGCAAACACCATGCTGAGATTCAAGGTGATTGCTCATTGATTTGAAACTTGAGTTCTTATTGCTCTTGATTCCTTTGATGCGTGGCTGTCCATTCTGCATGATAAAATGACACTTTTTGAGTTGCTTGGCCAGTACCTCTCTAAAATATGTCAACCCAAGGTTTGGTTGCAAACCAGTGGTATTTGAAGTCTCAGTGATATCAGAATGATCCACTTGAGAGGCTGGATTAGTCTTTGTTGCAGTAACACTGTCTGTGGCTTGAAAGTTGAGACATTGTGTAAGGTTGATGTGATGTTGATTGAGAGGTGATAATATGATTCAAGTTCAATTGGGTAATTGAGAAGTGATAAAGTGATTTAAGTATCTGAATTCAAAGTTGAACCTTTCAGGTGAAGTGATTGGGCAGTGGAGGAAATTTCAAAAAATAGAGAATGTAGAGTGAAAGCAAGATTGAATCAAATATGAAAATGAAATGTCAAAGACTAGAAAATTGCAACCAGATCAAATAGAGGAATGTAATCTTGTCAATTCTCCCAAGTGATCACAGAGGGTGACTTTGCTTGAATCTTGTCAGGGCTCAGCCCTTCTACCTTTGATTGAATTATACCAAGTGAGTTGATGGTTGAGTGAGTTGGAAAGAATAAAGAAAGCAAAACAAAATGTTGGAAGTTGGCTTGAAATTTCCAATATTTCACAAGTGCACTGGATATCTGGATATCAGCCAGATCCAATGTTGAACACAAGGATTTGAAAAAAGAATCCAATTGCTTATCTCCCCAATGGCCGGATGGTCATCTGTCTGTTGGTTTTGTTGATATTCAATCAAGACTGGTAGTTGGGTTATAGTTTGGTTTAATTACACAGTAATGTTACTTGATTTAGTTATGAGACAGATCTTGTTGAACAACAATTGCAATGGATATTGGTGTTTATCCTCCCCAATGTATTTGTCCTATTTTGATATACTTGTCTTGTTTCATTTTGTCCTCTGACTCTAATTCCTCATCTTTTGAAAAGAGTTAGAGAGTGGTTTCTCAATTTGGATTTTCATCAAACACTTATTATCAATTCCAATGTCTAAATGATTTCAGAACTTCCTTGAGATCATGTATCAGACATCAGCTTAAGTTTTCCATTTATCACTGATATAATTTTTCCTCCATGTAACTTGGGTAAAGATTTCAAACATATCTCATCCTACTTTGTCTTGGTCTAATTGGTTGTCTACTTTTATACTTCTCTTCCTACTTGTTTATTTTAGGTTAGCTCAAGGTTTGTGTACCTTCCAGAAAGGAGAGGAAAAAATTGCCTACACCAGTAAGTTCAATGCTACATGTAGCCACACTAGTAACAGCAGGGAGCTAAATTTTAGCACTATTATTATCAGTTTAGTTGAACAAAGAAATCCAATATAATATCTTTTGAAAAGAGAAACATCCTTAAGATCATTTATTAGAGCCATCAGCTCAAATTTCTTGTGTCTCATTTATGAATTTTTTCTTCCTTATAACTTAGGTTAAGTCAAGGTTTGTGTAGCTTTGAGACAAGCAAGGAGTGCTGACCTGTAGAACTATTATTATCAGATATCTTCATAGGTGTTCTTATTCATTTACAGGTTTGGGGTTTGGGCAAGCCAGAATTCACCGGTTTTTCACCCAATCACAGGTTGACTCACATAGTAGGCATAAATCACAATGTAAGCATAAATCCCACAATTTATGACAAGGTGCTGAGCTTCAAATGAGAAGGAACAGCTAAAGTTTAAGGAGCAAGCAAGGTATAAGGTTTGTAGAAAACAAAAAAATGGAACATAAACAGAGAGAACAGCAAAGTTGATAAACACAAGGTAGAAACATATGTATGTGATTTGAATTATGACTGATATTCTATGAATATTGGACATAAGTTGCATGGCTTATTTTTATTTCAGGGTCTTTCAGTAGGCTGACTTATCTCTTTGATTGCTATAGATAATTGACCCCTCTTCCAAGGTTCACAATAGACTTCTGGTTTGATATTGTATTCTGAATTTTCTTGGATGTCATTTTATTGTCCTTTGATGTTAATGGGAAGAGAGCTGAGGCACATTTTGGTGGCAAATTTATGGCCGTGCTGCTCCTGCAAGAACTCATCACTTGTCTGCTGAAGTTCTGGGTATCCTGAGCACACACGTACTTGATCATTTCTTCCAATTGCAAAAGATCATCAATTGTTTCTTTGACCACCCAACAAGGTTCTTATTATGCAAAAACAAGACTATCCATGAGCATTTCCACATTGGAGCCACTGATTGACTGTCAAAGAGGTGGAGTTTACCCTCAGAAATTTTGTATTCACGCTCCCTGTCACACGTAGTGAGATGAGTGATTTCCTCATGTGGATTCCAGGATATGGGACCCCTGGAAACCAAATTCATCAAGTCCTTGGTGGTGTGTCAATGTGATATATTCTTTGTATGGATGACCAGAAAATTGAAATAAGATAAAATCCTTGCCATATCACTTCCGCAAAGACATACATTTTATACACCACAGGGCAACTTTCATCATTGTTCATTTCAGAATGGCCTCGTTGATAATACATGTATGGGTGAACAATACACAGATGAGCTTCCATGTGACTCTCACATACCTTTGTAATGTGGCCCTAACATAGTGAGAGATCCCATAGCAAGATGGTGTGAGTACAACATGAGTGATGTGCCAGCTGTGTGAGATGGTGGCCACATAATATGCCACTATACATGCTCATCTCACACTCTCAGTTCTGAATGAGCACCATCCAATCCATCCAATGGTGTTGGTGGTGAGCATACATAGTGTCTTATTTTGTATATATGAAGGATGTTTACCTGTGAAAGGTGACCTATGCCATTGTTACAAATTTCAACAGCTTTGGGTTCCACTTTTCCTGTGCTAATATAACTCCTTGCATCCCTCCCAATCACCATACTCCCTCCAATGTCTAGGCACACCCAATTTCAACTCCACCACTTTCACTCCCTGGCTACTTCTCAAATGAAGTGACATGTATTGTCAGCCTGCAGAAGCTACTCGGGCATAGCTGACTGCGCGGGGCCAGAACCGGGTCATAGCCCCAGACTCCAGTCTCTCAGGCTACATTGAGGTCACCAGAAATCGAATTGACATTACTCGCAGTGACATACAGATTTGTCAAATTGTCTGCCAATTCCTTGCGGATTCCCTACTAAGGCCCTCGCGCGGCCGCGTCCAGTCCTACACCCCAATGTTCCTACGTCTTTTCTTTCTCAGGAAGCTTCCTTGAAGAGTCACTTGGGGTCTTTGCCACGGTGTTAAGTCCGGAGGGGCAATAATGATCAGCTGTCTGGTCTGTAAAGTTTTAGCGAGCAAAGGCGGACGGGATAGCCCAAAAAAAATCTTGATCATGGGCTTCAATGTCATTATTGTCTACCATCAGGATCCATTGTATCTTTTGAGATGTCTTTCACATGCTTGGAATTCATTCCAGTTTCCAAGATGTTAAAATAAATTATTTATCTCATAAACTTTCCTCAAAATATCTTCTTATCTTATCAAAAAGCTTTTGAAAGATGAACTTACCCTGAAATTAAATCTCCCTTTGAAGACACTTTCTTCAAATTGACATCGAACCTCTTTTGTACATACATATATACCAATGAGATGTAGATCACTGATTTCTGAACTGAATAAGTACTCTTCAAAAGGGAAAATCCAATATCAGGTTTATGTATAATCATACCATTGTATTTTGAATTCACTGAGATGAAGATCACTTTATGATTTGTATATATTTTAATTTACAATACCTATGTACATTCATTTCAAAACGCTCTCAATCACTAGATTTGTTCTCCAAGACATAAAGCAAGAGCAAAAAATACAAAAATCTATGTAATCGACATTAACATTTTCCTCTAATCTAAAAAAAACAACCACTCAACTCATTCCACTTTTGACCATGTATCTCTCATACTCTTCCTCTTTTCTAATTCTCTTCATTCAACAACTTCCAGAAAAAAAAATTATACGTATATTTATATATTTACCATTATATATGAATATATATATATATCCCATCAAATTCTCCAAGTAAAAAGATTTAAGAAACCAGAACCAAAAAGAAAAAAAAAGGAAGAAGAATAAAAAAAAAAGAGAAAAGAAAACAGAAAAGAAAAGATAACGATTTTTTTTCTTCTAAAAAAATCAACAAACATTTTGTTTCATATCTAAAAACACACACACACACAACGCACACAAGAAAAAAATCAATCCACCCCTTCACATCACTTTTTTCAAAATACAATTTCTTTCCAATCCAGTCCAATCCAATCCAATCTATTCTATACTTCTTTCTTATCCTTTTCAATCTTTTTTATCTTTCAAATCTTTAAACAAACCTTCTACAAATCCCAAACAATGCTTTTAATTCTTTACATTCTTCAATCACTCTCAATCCTCCAATCTCTCCATCTTTCTCTTTTTCTTCTTTCATCAATCCCAATAATTTAATAAATCCATAAATTATTCCAAACGGATGAGGTCTTTGTACCAAGATTCTTTCCAAGAAGACTCTTAAGATTTGTTCTTTAATGATTTCTCTTGAATGACTTCCGTTTGTGTTGGTTGAAGTGATCGAACTTGAAGAATTGGTTTTGTTGGAATAAATGTTCAGTAATAAGTTTACATACCAATTCGTATGTGCATTTGGCCATCTTAATTGATATATACATGAAACAAGTATCATATATCGAACTGAATCCCCCAAAAAAACATCAGTTTTCAATTCCAAAAAAGAAGCAATGAAAAAGAAATCATAACGAACCTTCTGGATCAGATGTTTCAATAAGTTCTTTCAAGATAATCACAGATTCACAACTTTCATCAAACCCATTCCCAACATCCCCAAACTTTCCAGTCCCAATCGCTTTAATTCCAAGTGTCAAAACCAATGCATTGATCAATCCATTCGAAGATTTCCTATCAATTTCAATTCGATTCTTGAACTCTACAATTAATTCTTTCCTTTCGATTTCTAATTCTGTTCTTCCTCCAATTCCAAGTTCAACTAAACTGAAAACCTTTTCAAACCTTTCTTTGATTCCATTGATTTCTAAAACACTTGTAAAATCAGAGCCGATTAATGGTATTGATTTAACTTCTAAACTATTTTCTAATTGATACCCACTAACAAATGGATCTACTAATCTAATTCCAACCGGATAAGCAGCTAAGATCACATTACTTAATTGAATAGCATAAATCGGTAATCCATTAAGGAATGAATGATAATAAAATGCTAAGAAGGTTGGAAAATCGTGTAATAACACTAAAAAGATTCGTACAGTGCCTGTATAAAGTGTTTGTGAGACTTCATCCATCTTTTGATTTTCTTTTAAAAACGGGTTTAAAAACTTTAAATGCGTTAAAAGTAATCTATGAACTGTTGGCCATCCTTCTCGATCTTTAAACATCAATAATTTAGGCATCAATAGTCGATGACTAATTAATGCCATCCAAGAAGTAGCAAATCCAGGGAAGTTCGCAGGTTGCATCGAATCAATCAAATTACTACGATTCAAAGCAAAAACAAATCATTTTAGTGCCTAATATATCACTCTTTTATTTCAAAAAGAAGATCAAAAGCATTCAAACTAACCTGATAGTCATCATCAAAGATTGATAAGAATTACCAAGATGTGATTCTAGTGAATTTAAATGAACCAATAAACTAGAAAAGAATCTAAAAAACGGTTTTTGTTGAAAATGTTGACCTAATTCTTTTTGAAATTTACTCATCACCAATAAAACAATTGATAATAATTTCATCATATAATGAGTTTTAGCTTTACCAATATCTTCACCTGTTGGGTCTGTATGGTATTTGATCATTAATGAAATCAATTTTGCAAATCCATCGACTGGTTGAAAAATTCCTCTATTAGGTTGTCCTCCATTTGCTTTAGATTTGATATATGAATCTAAACTTAATTCCATACAAATTCGAAAGAATGCTGATGAAAGTTCTTCTCCTTTTAAAATTCCATGTGCTTGTAATGATCCAACAAAATCTATAAATGGTTTCTCTATTGAATATGAATTCGAATAGATTCGAATCCATTCTGCAAAACAAAAACTTAATTGTTCTCTTAATTCATTCTCTTCTCTTGTACTTGTGTTGTTGTTGTTTATCGATTTCGGATCTGATTCTTTACTCATCACTACTGATAATTTGTTTTGCATTCTTTCCATGATACTTGTCACCCTATCATAGAAAAAAACTCATCAAGTCCTATTTTGATATCTAATTTTCAATTAAAATCAAAAGACTTACTCAGGACTTGCACGACCAATTTGAACAGCTCTATTCAAAGTCATAATTGAATGTTTCATCATTCCAATCGGTATTACACAACCTTCAGATTCCACAATAGCCACCAAGAATTGCGCCACAAAACTCATGAGAGTGGGTTTAAAATCCTTCAAGATCAATCTAGCCATAACACCATCGAATTCAACAACCGGTACAATCCTTCTTGAAACTAATGCCAAAGTAACCGGAACACTATACTTCCTCTACAATTTTGACAAAAAAAAATCAGATTTCTCGACATAATGTCAACTTCTTGAAAAGGAAAAGGAGAAACTTACTTCATCATCAGCATATAACAACCATTGACAGACTTCTTGTCCGACTTTAGGACTCAAGAAACAAATCCTTTCCAAGACTCTAACAAACACTTCACGTCCTAATCTATCAGATTGAGATCTATATAACATTGCAACTGATTTTTGTGCAACCATTAAAGTAGCTCCTCCTTCATTTAGATATCCCATCAAAGTTTCTAATCCTTCTTTAATCGAACTTTCATCTACATTGGTTGTTGAATCTAATTCAGCTGCCAAAGACTAGAAATACAAAAACAAATCAATTCAAGATTTCGTTCAGAGTTTAAGTCGCTTTATAGAACCACTTACATTGATTGCATTCATAGCTTCATTAACCACATCCTTCTGTCTAACTTCACCTTCCCTTCCTGCCCCTTCATCATCTTTATTCCCACCTTGTGATTGTAAACCAGAATTACCCCAAGTAGAATTATTAGGATTACCGGTAGAAGGAATCGATTGATGAATTGAAAATTCTTGATAAATCCTCAATTGATCTTCATCTAATCCTCCTAATTTTAATCTTAATGGCATAGGTAACATTCCAGAATAATGGGATGCTGCCATTGCAGATGTATCCCAAAATGCATTGGTGGTATGCTATCGCAAAAAGAACGTTCAAATTGATCAGTAAAAAAATTATCAAATTCAATGATTGAGAATCGAGAGGAAAAAACTATAAAATCTTTGTAGCCTACCTCTCTATGTCTTCTTCTAGCTTCAAAAGCAGGTCCTAAACTAATTTCGATTTCCATCATAGCCTTCTGAGCCGCAACTTTTTCAATAACCTGACATCCAACTTCTAAATTCTCATTAGTAACACCTAAAATCTCGTCTTCTTCGACTGTCCACTAAACCATCACGATCAAAAAAAAGAATCAGTCTCTAATTTCAGACAGAAAGGAAAAGGAAGATTAAGAAATCACAAACTTGATCAAAAGAAGAAACCGAAGATCTAAGATTACTAATGATCATATTCCTTAGAGGTTCTTTTGTAGTCACTAGAGCTAATGAACCAGCTAAACCTCTAACCATCATCATTGAACCTAATCTCATCTTATTTTCATCTCCTTCCATTGCAAAATCTTTCAACATTAATTCTCGAGTTGAAAGACTTGCAATCGTGACTGATCTTTCGACTACTGGTCCAATAATCTTATTTCGAATTCAATCCAACCAAGAATTCCGAAAATTAGTATTGGGGAAAGATCGAAGAATGATAAGATTTCAATACTTACATCTCGAATGGCTCTTTCAATCGAATTAAATACGATTCCTCTCCACCATTTCATTCGATTCTCATCATTAGACATCCCATTCCCAGAACCTCCAGTAGTTCCAAACCTCATCAATAAAGGTAATTCGACTAAAGCTTGTTTCAATAAATCTACAATTCAATCCCAAAAAGAGAAATCAATTGAACAAGATCGCTTCTTTTCCAAAAGAAAATCATGACTTGAAACAAACTCTTACCTTGTAAACTATTCGCATATCCCACTTGTCCACCTAATCCTCCTTGACCAGTAGATAACGGTTGTAATCCACCTCCCATAATCTTCCCCACACCTTCAATCCCATCAACAGAAACTTGTTGTTGATGAAGTGATTGTTGAAGTGAACTTTGTTGTTGTGACATCATTCCAGTAGCTCTACCAATCACATTCTCAATCTCCATTTCACTTGTTCTTCCACCTGTCACTCCTGCATCTGTTCCTAAGTGTTGATGAAGTGAATGTAATGGTAATTGACTTGAAGTCGCTCCTTCTCCAATCTCTCTACCTTCTTTGATCTTTTTCATCTCTTCTACTTCTTCTAGTTCTCTTCGAACTTCTTCTGATCCTTTAATCTCGTTCAATTCTACTTCTAAAGCTTTACACAACACTTCAATTTCAAACTTTAGATTTAATTTTAATCCTGCTCTACTATATAATTCCACCAAGACAGATAAGATTGACATTAACCAAGGATTAGGTGGTCTGAAAATCTTACTCTTACTTGCTTGCTCTAAGACTTTACAAACAAATGGGATAGCTACTATTAATCTATTCGATCGTAATCCTTGTGATAACAAATCTTTGAATGAAATTTGTCGATGTTTGATCGGTTTATCTCTTCCTAAAGTTAATTGACCAAGCCATGATCCTAAATTCTTTAAAATCGTTCGATCGGCTCCTGATCTTAATGTAGCTTCTGATTCTAACATTCTACCACATTTCATCAAAGTTTCATTTGTGATTTGTTTAATGATTGAAGGTCTAGATAATTTATCGATCAAATTTAAGTATAATCCATGATTGTTTGGTTCGATTGAAACACGTTGAGTTACAAAATATTTTGAAAACCACCCATCAAACTCTGGACTAAGTGCATTAGAAAGTTCAGATAATTTTGAATCTAAATTATTCGGTGCTAGATTATTGACTATAAATAAAATCTTATCTGAAGTCGCTTCAGGTGGTTCAATAAAACTTTCTTTTGAAGTCATCAATCTTGGATCTCTTTCTTGTGATGATTGATCTTGTTGATAAGTTCCTAACATCTTTCTTCGTTTGAGTTCTCTTTTGATTAGATCGTCATCAGATTGAATCGCAGGAAACAGTAGTGCAAGCGGTTCGTCTGAATCCTCTGAATTTGTTCTTGTAAGTTGTTGATCTCCAATTAAACCTCCAGTCACTAGATCGTCATCTCCTCCTTTTCCAACCAAAGTTGCAAGGTATTGATTTTCATCAAACCGATCACCCGTCAAGACCGATTTCGCTCGAAGATACACTTCAGGATGTGTAAGTTTTAAAGATTCGACTTCTGAAACGGCAGCTGCCAATTGCGGCCATTCTTCTAATCGATTTTGAAATCTTGCCAAAGCTTGAGATCCGAATGCATACCATTTCGATTCAATCGGATGTCGGATCGCATCTAATACGTATCTTACTGCAATCCCAAGTGGTACATATCCAATCAATTGTTCTCTAATCAATGACCCAAACAAAGCAGCTGTTAATCCTAATTCTTTAGCTGGATAAGTTGCAAAGAATTTATATTCATCAAATAAACCTGAAAGTAGACAGGCCAAGAATTGATGAGAATGAACTTCTGAGCTATCTCTCATAGCTCTTAAGATGCCTACGATTTGATCTACTGATAATTCAAGATCATACATCTTTTTATAAAACGCATCTACCTCTGCCTCTGTGCGTGAATCAAATGAAGATAATTGAATTCCTGGTTCATCCTCATTGCCAGGTAAGAAGTTCATTAGTTTAGGATGAAGTTGGACAGCTTGGGTTCGAACTTCTTTGAATCTTTCTAATTCTTCTACACTCAACAATTCATGTTGGTGCCTAATGATTCGAATAAAGATTGAGACCGTAGGTGCACTGAGACTAAGTGTACTAGGCTCGGCGGCGGTTAGGGTATTAGAGGCAGGGCCATCGGTTTGTCGACCTAGGTCATGTGATACTTTTTTTGCCAAGAACTCTAAACATCCGTTTGCAAATCCTCGACCATATGAACTGAGCCGATCACCGAGCCATTTGTCTAGGTTGAGGTATTCCCTTCTTGAGGCTAATGAAGCAAGATCGAGAACCATTTGCACGGATGGTTGGCAATTCAACACTTGTTCTAGAATTTTAAGGTCTTGAGCAATATCTAGTACTCGAGTGACATTCATTTCGTTCGACTCATAAAACTCTCGCAAGGCAGCCATGAGAAAAGAAGGATCGAGTTGCCAGATTCTAAGGAAGACAAGTTGATGAGATGGATGACCAGTGAGGAAAGATTGAAGTAATTGAGATGCTAGATCATTGTGTAAGACACCCCATGGTCGCTTAAAGATCAAACACGCAAAACAAGAGTCAAAAAAAGAGAAACATGTACATCTGATTTCTGAAGGGATAAAACATTTACCTCGACTTGAATGAGAGCAATCATGACCAACTCAGGATTGGCTTTACACGCTCGTTCCATGATCTCTGATGATTTCTCAATCACTTTCTCGGCCTCACCGTCCTCTAGACGGATTCCAGGCTCTTGGACTGGAGCTTGACCAAGAAGTGAAGTGATCTCGCACAGGAGTTCCTTTACATTCCAACCGCTCATTTCGACTGATTTGGCTAAAAGTCGAATGGTGGCTGAAGCTCCCATCAATGCTACTTCTTCAGTTGCCACCAGTCTATGACAAGCTGGACCGACCATTGGAGAGAGTGGAGTGGGTTTGAGAGCGTGTAGGAAGGGAGAGGCGTCAAGTGGAAGAGAGAGAAGTCGATCGATAAGTTGAACCTTGGCAAGCGGACTACGCCATCGTTCAAACAAGCTTGAAATGGCAGCAGTTGAACGACTGGTAGATGTTCGAGTAGGTTCGGTCGATGAAGGTGCAAGTTCAGTAGGAGGAGCATCCGATCGAGTGCTACCTGCAGCGCTATGACTCGAGGTAGAAGTAGGGGTAGAGACTTCCGGTGCTTGAGAAGTACCGGTAGTATCGGATGAGGAAAGTGTGAGGGATGGTGCCAAACTTAAAACTTTGGCAAGGAAGCGTAATCCCCATGCTTCAGGTAAAGTTGATCCATTAGGTCGATCAAAGGTTAATTGGATTACATCTGACCAACGGATTCGATTAGAGTAAAGTTCTCCAACACCACGAATCCAAGAGACATGGTCGATATGAAACTCGGCTCCATATTTGGTAGCTAGAAGAATCAATTCACGTAATTGATCGCTGACTTCTCCTTCAGGTGTACCTTTTGGATGAGCTCGACCAGTTTTGATAAGAACTGATTTACAAAGATCAGCTGTACAAATCGTTGGATCGGAACATATTCGGTAAAGAAGTGAGATTGGAGTGGGATTGGATGGGAATCGAGCTTCTGAAAGACAATGATTTGCGATCTGAGATGCCAACTCTTGTCCGACACGAGACACTAGAGCTTGTACAGCAGCACGTTGAACTGTAGGTGTCCAGAGCCATTCAGGTTCTTGTTCTTGTTCCTCAGATGCAACAGCAGCAGGAACGGTGGTATCAGAGATGATGATGGCGAGTAGCTTTGAGAGTTGAATAGCAGTTAGTTCGGGTAATTGTTCATCTGATGCATTGTTGTTATTGCTGTTGTTGTTAGCAGCAGATGGAGAAGGGGTTTGTGTTGATGGCGTGACAGGGATCGATAGGCTATGAAGTGCAGCACCGATCGTTTCACGTAAGCTTTGAACAGCATCGCGAGCGATTTGTCGCTTTTTGGCTAAAAGCGCTGGATGTTGATACTGACTCGAGACTGGTGGAGGTGGTAAACCGGGTGGAAGAGGAGCTGTAGGTGGAGGTGGAGGTGGTGTAAGAGAAAGAAGTCCTAATAAAGGTGGAAGTAAGAGTAATCGTTCGAGTGGTGATAATGAGGTAGCTCGAATGAATGGAGGTAATTCGAATGCATCACCAGCATGAAGTGCAGCTGCTAGAGCAGTTGCAAACTTGTTGGATGAAAACGGATCACGAGCCAAGAGTTTGAGTTCAGAAGTTAAGAGCCTTAGAGCCAATTGGGATTGAGATGGTGAGTTGAGGACTAGACCAGAGGAGAGATTATGTGAAGATTGAAATCCTAAAGCTGAGATTGAAGCGTGAATAAGACGTTGGATGTAAAACAAGTCTGTATCACCTGGATTTTGACGAACAACCTATTTTGAAAAAAGAGGAGTAGTAAGTAAAAGATCTCTAAAAGGAGAAAAAGTAACAATAGAAACTTAACAGCTTGAATTTCTTGTTGAGCATAAGCAAAGTTTTCCTCAGTGAGACCACCGATTTTGAATACGATTTGAGTTTTGGCAATCTTGGTTAATTCGTTTGCTCTTTGTTGTTGAGCCGTTAGAACAGAAAGACCGGGAGGTGGGGTAGGAGTAGGTATCATAGCCGAGAATCGAGAATTGAGACTTGAGAAAGGGTAAAGTGGGTGTTTTGAGTTATTTTGGTTGTGTTTTTGATGATGATGGTAATGAAGGATATTTAATGATAAGTTTTGATTGATATCTTCATTTTGATTGGTTTGATTGATCGATTCTAAGATGAAGATACTTTGATCGATCTCATTTTGTTTTGATACTATTGAGTTTATCGATGATGGTGAATGGTACTTGTTGTTGTTGTTGTTGTTGGTTGATGGTGATAGGGTGAGTTGATGGGTGGTGGTGATGATGGTTGTTGACCGTTGGTGACGATGAGTTACACTGAAACTACCTTCAAACTACAGTCTCAAACTGCATTGTCATCCTAAATTATCAAACCCTATCATCCATTAAGATTTGACCTGCTGACCATTCATCTAACTCCTCTTTAAAAGCCTCTCACTTCAGTAAGCATCTTGTAGGTTATCAAAATTCAATAAATTATGCGATACATTTCCTGCAGAAAGGTTCCAGACATCTGAGCTTGCAAGCATCGGTATGTCAGGGTAACTTTAGTAAGTTGACTAAGAAAGAAGTTAAGAACCAATCTTAACAATCCATTTGAAGTCCATGTTGGCACGACCCAACCGAGCATAGCCAAATTTTGTGGAAGATCATCTTACAAAATATATTTAAATATTGGAATGTCATCCGGGAAGTGTACATATGTACCTCGTGGTTTCTATACCCTTATAAATTTGAAGATGAATGAAAATGTGATAAATTTTGGTTGTTAGAATAAAATGTTCGTATAAATTCCCATAGAGAATTGATTTGATTCAAATTGATTCAGTTTAAGTCTTTGATATTCTTTAGTAACTGTTATTTTGATAACTTTTTTTAATTACTAACTGATTGAGAAAGGTTTGGAAAAATGGAAAATTTACTAAGCTAACTTTTTAACAGTAGGGTGCAGCGGACTGATTCTGTGCTGAATTGAGAAACCTAACGCTACACTAGCCGCTATGATTTTGTAATGATGCGACCCAATCAACCCGCTACGCTACTGGAAAACTTTGCAGTAGCAGAAGAATAATACACCTCCACCTGGCGAATCATTCATGATTGGTTTCCTGTTTTTGGCCAACCAATTAAGAAAAAACAGTCAGCGTAACAAAACAATTACATATTTTGAAGTACAGTCAATCTAGATTAGCTTGGCCAATCGAGAATTTTTATTTTTATTTTCAGACGTATACAGGCCAATACAGGCCATTTTATAAGCATACATAGCCTTCAACTGCGACACCACATTCAGTTGAATGGGCCCGTTTTGACGATTCAAGCTTCTGACTGATCAGCATCTATCAGCATCAATCCATTCCGTCCAAACCCATCCTTAAATCACTTGAATCCTCTTTACCTCGTCACTAACTATCCTTTGAAAATTGTGCATATCATCTAGGCTTTCATCCCGCGATCCAACCACCCTTTCGATCTCGGCTGTAACAACTCGGCTTTGACTCAAGTAAGCTCTTTGAATATTGTTCTCATATTGCGATCGATCATCTGATCTTTGAATATCTTCTTTGTCTGTCCAATCGGTCCAATGTCCTGTTCCATTCATCAGATATCTCCAAGCTCATCGACTCAATTCCCTATCTTATTACCAATTCAGGGTGTGTATTTTCTTTGACTTAAGTCCTGTTCACCGACTAAACCCCCGCTAATTGAAATGTTACATTTCTTTGGACTCCCTTCTGCCTGTCAACTCAAGCCCTGGTCTTTGGTTTAGACACTCTAGAGTAATTTGGGGATCCAGCAATCTAATAGATCCAATCCAGCGGCGAGGATCGATCTTGTTTTATTGCAAATCATCAGTAAGAGGCTACTTACCCAGTCTGTGGATCTCATTATATTGTTTTTTCTTGCTATCCGATTTTGCTGTGCTTCTCGAGAAAAAATCAGTGTCTTATCTGTGTATAGGAATTTTGTACCTGTCATCCCAATGCTCAATCAATTCAATAACATGGACTGTTTACTGTCATCATCCTCAGGTCTAGTTGATATAATTTCTGGGCTTTTTCTGTCGCCTATGAGTTCATTAGGCCCACAGTCTCAGAATGCACAAACCTCTTGCAAATGCTTAAAGACTTGCACTGTACTTTCTTACTTTGCGGTCATGAAGAACTGTCTTATTTCCTTTTCAGTAGGACCTGAGATCATACTTGGTGGTTGCTGGCTTCCTTGCATACTCCAGTGTGGAGTACACGATCTATGACTTGATCTAAGAACTGTTGGCACTCTGCCTATCTGTGACCATGATCATTGCACACGATCTCCTCACTTTCTGGCATGGTATCAATGGATTTGGAAAGCGATTGAAGCACCACATGAAGAGACTGTATCCCAATGGCAAGCTGAGGCTAGATGAGATACAAGCAGAATGAACATTGAGACAATGGATTTGATCTGATGTGACAGATTCAAAGCTAAGGAAGATAAATAAGAAGGGAACGATTGAGTTAGTCAACAAATGGCCAGAGCTTAACAGTTGAATTTACGAGTTGGATCTGGAGCCTAAAGAAGGGATTCAAAAGTGAGAACACGGGCTAAAGACAGCCCTTCACTTGCATCAAAGCCAAGATTTCAAAACCGATAGACTCAAATAGACATAGAGGGTTGAATCGAAGACGCAGAGGGCCAAATCGAAGCTTAGAGGTCTGAATTGAAGTAAAGAGATTGAATTCAAAGCCTAGAAGACAAGGTCAAGCTCACACTAGAGGTCCTTGGCTGAAATGGAATATGGGATCGATGCGTGTAGGATGAAAGTACGGTGCTGAAGGTTCATAATAGTGAAGCGCTGTTGACTGTGGTCAGCAGTGGTTGGTCTGACTCATGACCAGACAAACATAAGCATATGAATCATATGTTTATGCTTATAGATTTACCTGTATTGCTGTAAAAAATAAATAAATAAAATCTGCTCGGACAAGCTAATCTAGATTGACTGTAGAGCGATTGGATGTGATGTATTTATGTTTTTCTTTTGGGTTTGAAATCGATTTGTTGGGGGGTGAAATCAGATTGAGCAAGCAAAAGATTGAGCCAATCAAAACAAATATTTGATAGGAAGAAATTAAAAAACCATGCATACACTACTTTCAAAGAAAAGATGATGGTAGTGGCAAGTATAAATACGGCTACCATCTACTCAGAAATGAAATTAAGGCTTTATCAGTGAACTTATTCTCCCTTTTTCAAGAGAGTGCACAGGTGTTTGACTGCACTTTGGTTTGGATTTAAGAAACTTCTTCATTCCTTATAATATTGCATCTTCGTCATATCCCAAGTATAACCATATACCTTTTGTCAAAACATTTGATCATAACTTGGCTGACAAAAGTCTTGGAGTAAAGATAAAATTTCTAGTATTCAGTCTGAATAAGCCCAGTGAAGAAAAAACAAATTCTATTCTCATGTTTAAATTTCGGAGATATCTGAAACTTGGTATGTACAAAGATTTACTTCAAGCCACATCCCATTTCATGAAGAATTGTAAAAATGCAAAGATGATAGTATTTGGAATCTTTGGTTCAGCAGAAAAAAAAAACATTGGTAAGTGAAGACAACTTTCCATTTCTAGGGGTTTGACTATGGTACAGGTGTTTGTGTCAGAGACCAGAACAGTGAGGTGATGTAGCTTTCTTGGAAAAGGAGATGAAAGAAGTCCATGTAATATTCAAGCTGGTGGTTGCTTAGCTTCATATTTTTGATTCATACATCAAAACAACTTCAAAAAAGATTAGATCAAAGCAAACCCCAATAAGTAAAAAATAGAAGTCAGTAAACATTACCAAATGCTATTACTAACCAATCCAACAAAGACAAAAACTTACCCAATCCCAAAATTTCTCAAGTTTAGTTTTAGGAACAAATGAAGTTTTTATATAAAATTCATTCATCTCTTCGATTTGTTTAATTCCAGTTTTGAAATCCATATTTGAATATTCAATCCATTTGGTTTTACGTGTAAGTTTCCAATAAACAAAACTAATCAAATAAAGTACAAGTGCACCATAAGCTGCGATGAATCCTGATGAAGACCTTTTGAATTGATCAAAAGCAAAAAAAAGAAATTCAAGATTAGTTTTGATCGTTTTTCTAGGAGTATTTGGAATACTGAGCTTTATAATTGTGGAAAAATTTACCAATGATCTTTGATGAAAAAAGTGAACCCATTGAAAATGATAATCAAAATGATCATTATACAAGCAAAATATGAAAGGTATGGTTGAAAAGGAGACTTGTAAGGTAACTTAGATCTATCAAGACCTTGAGACTTCATACCATGATAAAATCGGATATAAGACTACAAAGCAAGGAAACAAACAAAAACAATTCCTATCAAACCCTCGAGAAAGTAAGAAGTAAATGGAAAAACAAGACTTACGAGTAAAATAGAGAGCCAAGTACAAAGACCAGTAACAGAAGAGAAATTAGAAAGCCAACGAAAAAGAGTCGTACCGCTTGAACTTAACCTCAAGAAAGCTAGTAATGAAAAAGAAGCAGTGATGACTAGTGACCACATTGGAAGTCCTTTGGGTGTACAACGTTTGAAGAAGCTTGGAGCTTGGCCTTCTAGAGCTAATCCATAAAGAATACGACTTCCTACATCTGGAGATGTTATGAGTATCGATCCAGATCAGCAATTTTTCGCGGGAAGGAGAGCTGGTAGGTTTGAGTTACCAACATAATGAACTATTTCCAGCTGAGAAAGCAGATGTTAAAATCACGGCATTGATAATATCAGGTCTGCAAAATCGATAAAAGTTAGTAACTTTAAAGTCTAAAACAAAAAATGAATGAATGAGAAGAAGAAAAACATACAGTACTTTGATCCCAGCTCTTTCCATAGCAATAACAAAAGGAGACGAACTGCCAGGTCTACTACCTTTCAACTTGAAGAGTCTTGGATCATCAGATGGAACTAAGAGACCGATAACAAAGACACCTCCTAGGTAGAAAATCAAGATCCTAATCCAAAATACGATGTCAACCCATCACTCAGTCTTAGATACCAATTAGTGTTTGACAAAGATGATCTATTTTTCATTACCTGAAAAACACTCGTTTGATAGCTTTTGGTACTGTTTTACGGGGGTTTTCTGCTTCACCAGCTGCTACTGCTACAGTTTCAGTACCGACATATGCAAAAGCTGCGAATATGAACTGATTAACATCATTAGATTACGGCGCATAAAAGTAAAATGATCAAGAGAATCAAATGATTTTAAACAAAACCTCCTTACCACCTGCCAAAACGCAAGGAATCTACCAAGTGCACCTGGGATATCAAAAAGTTGAGTAAATGGACCTGGATCTTTCCAGTATCTGAAATATGAAACCTCAATCAATGAGATACTTAGTGTACTGATTGAAATAAAGCTGATTCCTAACCTGAAACCTATAAAATCATGGCTTGGACCACCACCTTTCACCAAGAGAATTGATTTAGTAAAGTGACCTTTCTTGAGCTGAAGTCAAGTAAGATGAATCCTCACCAAGATCAAGTACTATTCCGGCGATGATTAAGATCACGATCATAGTTACTTTCAATAAGGCTGTTTATAAATTAAGTGTGATTGAGTTTAGCAACTGAAACCACTCTTTGTAACGAGCCTTCAAAACTCACCAAAACAGAATTCGGCCTTGACAATCAACGTAGGTAAATCAGCACCAATTGTTCAGCTTCTAGGAAGGAAGTTGATGAGTTGACTCACTTCCCCAAACCACTCCACACCCAAAAAGTTCAAGGCGCATATAGTGACTGTGAACTGTGTGGTAGACAAGGCTTAATTTTTTATTGAAGATTTGATTGTTCAAGATTCTGAATTATGGAAACTTACAACTGCAATATATATTCCAACGTTTGTTGCCGTATCCCAATATTCGACAATAAGTGCCGCAGCTTAGCAATTGATAGAGTGTTAGTTAAAAGTTTCAATTCTGAAAGGATATGTTTCCAACAAACCAGTAATTTCAGTTGCAAGGCTTATTCCGGCTGAATACCTAGATGAGTTTTTCAACAGGAGTATTGAATGGATGAACGAATGATGCTCTCAGTCGTCAAAAAGTATATCTCTAGGTAGCTGTTGGAGAGTTTCTTACCATAAGTTAAATCCAACACTACAAGAAGCCGCAGGATCCAAGAATCGACCAGCAAAATGTGTGATAGCTCCCGAGATTGGTAAATACGAGACCATCTCTCCCTTTCCAGAAAAAAAACGAAAAAAAAATCAGAGTGTGAAGTTCGGTGATTCGTAAAGTCGCGATAGCAAGACTTACTAGTGCCATTTGAACGCCATACACAACTGCCCCTAATGAAGTACACGAAGAGATGAAGACATTAGCAAAGGTATTGCAATAGGTGAGTTTTTCGACGAACCCATGATCGTATAACCCAACAGCAAACCTACTGGACCGGCAGTGGTGAGCGCTTGACTAGTACCCAAGAACAATCCAGTACCGATAGTTCCTGCAGGATACAGAAAGTATTGAAGATGTCGATTCTAGATATCACCATCGAAGATCACGAGCATAAGATGAGATCGTTGGCGAAGCTCACCTCCAATAGCGATCATAGAAATGTGACGTTGCTTGAGCTTCCGCTCAACTTCACCATTGGTTAAGACCTCCTCAACGCTGGCATCTGCTTTTTCACTCATGGCTAACGATTATTTCGCGATTGAATTCCGAGGGGATTGAAGCACAAGATGAGAAGCAGAACTGAAGGTATCGAAGCTTCGCAATAGATATAAAGAAACACAAGATCAAGCTGAACACCACATTAAACCACCCACATATCTTATAGTGTGTTTATCGGGATGATCATGATTTGAGGGAGAATGAGAGAATAGAATTTGCTCCTATCTGCGCATGCCATCATCGGAGTCTATAAATATATATTTACGTAATGATCAAAATCCATTGAATCAAATGCCAAGTGGGGAATGAATGAATCTAGAAAGATCAACAGGATCTAACAACATCAGAAGTCTCGAAGGACCAAATCACTCGAAAGCTTGCGCAACGAAAGTAGCTGCTACCCAGTACTGTCTGCTACGACCCCTTCTTAGAACACGCAGGCCTCGGAATTGTACCCTTTCGTCATATGCAATACATACATGGCCAAATTCACAAGTTTGATAAATCCTTTCTGCAATGAGAATCCTAGTGATGTCCACATTTGTGCGTGAGTCACATACCCAGGTAGCCATTCGTTATCTATCAATTGTGGTACACAAATATTGTTCTGGAAATTTCCAGAACGCTTTTTCCAGAACGCCAGAAGTTTTTTTGTTTGGTGTGTTCTGGCGTTCTGGTGTTCTGCAACTTTGAATGCCCCACACTCCAGAATTCCAGAAGCCCGACTACACCATGAACCAAACCACCACCTACTCCGCTGGCACTCCCCTCATCCCCTAGGACACCAAATCTCATCCCTCTCCCATCTCAGCACTTCCATTCTCACTTCTCGATTATGGCTCAAAAAAACCCAACCTCAACTTGAAAGATTCATGTATGTATAATATTACATACTTTCTCAAAGGCAGATGGGGAAGATTGGCCTGCCGAGTTGAAAGTTCAAAGTGATTGAAGAACTCTGAACGCCTGTTTCAATCGACAGGACATTTAAGGCCTCTTTGCACCAAACCCATCGCACAAACGACTGATGTTCATGAATCCGGGCAAGATACTACGCGGCAAGATGCTTTTTTCACTCAATCTATTGCGACTCAAAGTGTTTGAAATGGGCTTGGGAACAATAATCATTTTATCTTTCATCTTAGTGTCGCTGTTTCACTAGTTTTCAAGCTTTTGTGTTTTCTTTCTAGTTTCCTTCTATATAGCTTTCTAACTAACAAGTACAAAGAGTACAAATTGAGACTTAAGAAAGAATCTCAATATGATGATACCTGTATCGATTGATTTTTGTGCTTGAAAACCGGGAGAAAGTGGATGAAAATCATAAGAATAAAACGGCCTCTATGTATCGATTGGATTGCAGTGAAAGCTTTGCCTCTGAGTATTAATTGATTCACGGTGAATGACCCATCTCAAGCCAATAAAAATTTCTCGATACCTGGAATGGGTTCCATATAGAAGTTTGGTGATCTGAAGTTCAAATTGAAGGTCGATTAAAAGGCCTGAAGCGCAGATGGGTGAATTTGTAAAGTGAACGGCGTGATAACTTGATCTTCTTGGGTTGGCTTGAGGTAGTTGTTGCTGATCACTTGATCCATGTTTGTTAGGTGATGCATGTGGGGAATGAACGGCTGCAGCAGAAAGTTTATGTGTGTATTTGTGTTTTTTCCAGAACGCCAGAACGCTTCCCGAAGGGTTCTGGAGTTCTGGAAAAAACCTTCTGGAAATTGCCAGAACGATATTTGTGTACCATAAATGTAACCAACGAAGATGAATATGCTAACTTTGCTTTCACTCTCATTGCTCGAGTTTTGTACATAAGTTACTTGTTGATATTTGCAAATAACATACTTAATACGAGTTTCTTAGAAAATAACTTATAGAGAATGAACTTAAGAAAATATGAAAAAGAGGCAAGATAATATGAAAAATCACAAGTACAATGATAAATCCCAAGTACACTGATAAAAACCAAGAAGGATTATAAAAGCAAGAGCAATCATAAAGCTACATAACAATTGCCATACAAAACCAATGATACACAAGATATGTAAACAAAGATAGCAATGCTAAAGTGATGGTAAAAACAAGAGGATTATCACAAACACATTGTAAGACTACTTATAAAAGATGCAAACAGTTATCAAACCAATTTATTGTAAATTGATGTGCTATTGGTGATGTGACAGTAGGGGACAGCCATTTCAACAATAGCTCTCTTGCACATTTTTCTCACAGCCTGCCAGTTAGTGGCATGTGTCTGGGCAGGACAGGGATTGACTAATTCAGACAGTCAATCAGACAGCCCCACACACTGTGGTGCTGTACAATACTCACAACCTGCCATGAAATGGGGCCTAATATAATGGGGCTCATGGATTCCATGAAGCTCAAGAGTTTTTCATCAGATTGATTCAATTGTGTCCCAACTGCTTGCCACCAATGATGTGTCCATCAAGAATTCACACAAACCCAAGTTGGGGCTTGTCAGACCTCTGTGGAACCTGAAAAGAGGTGTCCAGAGGTGTCCAGCTTGCGCGCAGGGAGGGACACTGGATCCAAAATACAGCCAGGTGAATGTGACATGCCTTCTCTGTATGGAGTTTCACAGATTGTGGCACATTGTTCATGCTCTTGGCAACAATCCACAAACAAGTTGGTATTGAGCCTTCCCAAGCTTTTCCTCCGGCTGGTCACCACCATTTGACCCATTTGAACTGAAACAAATTCACTTTTCCTGTTAAAACTGTAAGACTTCAAACAAGAACTTGTTAACCTCTATGATCATTCTACTCTGCTTAGATGCCACAAACAATCAAACACAAATAAATAATAGTGATAAGAAACAAAGATAATCAGGGTATACAAATATGGTTCTGGAAATTTCCAGAAGGGTTTTCCCAGAACACCAGAAGGTTTTTTTGGGTGTGTTCTTGCCTTATGATGTTCTGAAGCTTTGAATAACCAACACTGTGTTTTCCACAAGATCAGGAGGCTTCTGGTGTTCTGGTGTTCTGGAAAAAGTTGTCTGGAAATTTCCAGAACAAACTTTGTTCTATAAGTTTGTTTTGCAAATTTGTTTCAGGAAAAGGAGATCCTAGTCTATATATCTACAAGAGCATTCAGGTTCATTAAGATCCTATAAGAATCTCATGCAAAATGTGAGTACTGTCCTGTGTGAAATACCCAATGGACATATGTTGAAGTCATCAATTGCAGTGGAACACCTTCACATGAATGGTTTGTGTGTGGGTTAGCATATTCTTAATTATGGATGAGTTGTTCAATTGAACACGCTTAATTTTGTGAAGATGGAGGGTTGTTTCTAAAGGGTTGTTTGTCCAGTGGTGGTGCACCTGTTATATGTTTTACCATGTGGTGTATGGAAGGCAAAGGGGGTGGATTGATGGGGATGGAGAGATCTTGTCTGTCCATCCAAGCAGCCCACCAAGAGGGAATCTGACTGGGTGTGGAAGGATTGGTGCAATGATTGGAGCCTCCAAAGGAATGTGAGGTTCCAGATGGGTGTTGTCAACACAAAGATGGATGGGGATATCTGTTTTGGTTGGGGTTGTGTGAAGTCTGCAGATGGTTTCCCAAAGGGGAAAGCTGCAGGGTTTTTTTGGTTACAGTAGCCAATACAAAGTTGCACAACCCTTTGGTTGCCTCCAAAGGGCTGTGGATGCAGAGAGATGATCTCACATTGAGAGTGAGAGCACTGCACAGTTTGATGGTTTTGGAATTACAGCTGTTTCAAAAATTAAAGTGGCTGTTGTTGTTTATGATTTCTTTTTTTTCATATCCGTGGTTTTCAATGTTGCAGGAAAGGTCAAATCTGGAGGACTAAACACAGATCTTGATGCCAACATTTGAGCAGGCTTGACCTCATCTGCTCCCCATTCCAGATGAATAATTCAATCGAGTAAAACAGATTAACCACGGATATGAAAAAAATAAAATAAAAAACAAAGACAGCCACTCTTATTTTTGAAACAGCTGTAGTAGTCATAAACAAAATTTCCCACATCTGCATCTGTCACTCTTCACCAAAGCATTCACACACATTACAGCACTTTACAGCATATGCTTTCACCCAATCTCAATTTACCCTATCTACCCTACCCTTACTCTTCTTTTTGGCTTCCTTCCCATTCCCATATGTGATTCCCATTGATTACATGAAATGCTAGTCAATTCCCTGATGGATCAGATATGCAAGTTGGGCCCCAAGTGCAGTGCATGTCAGTTTAACCCCGAGTCAGCTCTTGATGTTTGCCACCCTGGCTGCCAACTTTTTCAAGTGGACCAACAGCACATTCATCACTTTGCCAAATCATGTGCCATAATAATTGCTCAGTCATTGCCCAGAAGCTGGGCAGCCAGATTCCAAGTGGGGACGCCTCTGGAACACCACAAGATGTTTCTTAAAAACAGTGACACTTACAAACACCATGTCTGTTTTGAGGTAGCATGTCGACGTGCTCACACCAATCAATTTCCATAGAGTGTGGATATAACCTACAAACAGGTCTGAGAGCTAAGCATACAATTGCCTTTGTCAAGAGGTTCAGACAGCAAGAGTGTTAAATGGGCTCCTTTGTTCATAGTTCCATTGACAAGCGGTACATTTTTGATTGTCTATTATTATTAACAAAGGATTTGCATTTTCTAGAGACAAATTGAATAAAGATCCATTCAAATTTATTACACAACTCTCCGTGTGAGTACATCAACGTGCTCATGGGGGACGGGCATGGTGAAACTTAGTGAAATGAACAGTCAGTTGGGTGTGGCAGACACCCCCCTTGGCATACAGCCCAAGGGACAGTAAATTTCATAATATTTCCCAATCTAACACCCCATGGGGTGGCCAGCAGACAACACTACAATGTTTAAGCACTATACTAAAGTCAATTGTGACATCTGGATCCCAATCATCTCAAAATTTCCTAAAGAAATGAATGATAAAAATAATCATGTAAAAATCGGAATAAAAACCACTAAAAAAGCCAAATCAAAT